AAGCCTGAGTCGTCATATCCAGCCAGAAAAGATTTTCCAGGAGAACCAACATTTAGGTAGAAATTGAGGAGGTAAGGATAAGTGATTATTTCAAGCACAGAACAACAAGAACAAAGCCAGATAACTAACTGGTTGGAATGTAGTAAAAAATGCTTGACTGGGTGAAGAGAAAAAGATCAGACAGTACAATACAAACAGCCATGGCAGGGTTTAAGGTTTGCTATAGTGTGGATGCCTTAGTACACTCAGCAGATGGATATATATATATATATTCACAGGTACACAACTTGTTAGGAACAGGGCCCCACTATGTAGCCCTGGCTGGACTGGACAAGGCTGGCCTCTAACTCAGAGATCTACTTGCCTTGGCCTCCTGAGTGCTCCGATTAAAGGCATACACCACCACGCCTGGCAGAACAACTCTTCAAATGAAGACTCTGACTCACTCCTGAGAAAAATGGGCCGAGCTGACATATTTATGAAGACAGAATAAACAAAAAGTGATTCTTTACAAGGTAAGTGTGGTGGCTCACATAATCTCAGCACTCATGAGACTGAGGCAGAAGGATTACCATGAGTTGCAGCCCACCCTGGGCTACAAAGTGGAAACAGTCTCAAAAATGAACAACAAAAAAATTCCTTATGGGGCTAGAGAGATGGCTCCATAAGGAAGAGCACTAGCTGCTCTTGCAGAGGACCTGGGTTCAATTCCCAGCATCTACATGGCAGCTAACAACCATACATACAACCATCCATAACTCCAGTTCCAGGGGATCTGACTTCTTATCTCCATGGGTTCTACATGACACAGGTGCACCTACCTACATGCAGGCAATACATTCATAGAGATAAAAATATTTTAAAATTTCCTTACATGCAACTCAGTGAATGGTGATGCAAGAATGATAGGTCCCAGCTGGGGTGACCAATCATATTAAGAGGGAATAGCCTAAGAAAGGTAGAGGATTTGGGAGTGATGGTGAGGCTGGGGGAGTTGTGAGAGGGATGCTGGAAAAAGGGTTCTGAGCAGTGAGCTACGTATGAAGGTGGGAAACGCTAAGGTACAATTGTGTAGAAAGTGGTATAGGTTCTCAGAGATCCTTACTGGAAAAGATACTGCTTTGTAAGAAATGAAATACAGAAAACATCCTCAACAAATAATCTTAAGAAGTGGCTAATAAGCTGGGGGTGGTGGTACAGGTCTGTAGTCCCAGCACTCAGGAGGCAGAGGCAGGAGGATCTCTGAGTTCCAGGCCAGCTGGCGCTACAGGAAGACCCTGTTTCAAAAAGACCAAAAAAAAAAAAAAAAAAAAAAAAGTGGCTAATATGAATAAGAGGGTTGGAGGTTGAGAAGGGATAATTTCCCTAGCTCTATATACATAGAGACTTTAAAATAGTATTGGGTACCTAAAGAGCACGAAATAAAAAATTACCTTCTCACAAACTGGCTTCAGCTGGATTAAGTTTCAATAGGCTTCCTCCTAGCCCTGTGATACCGAAGGTAAATCTTAAGAAAATCCAATGAGGGCTAGGGATTGGAGCTCAGAATGCTTACACATGAAGCCTGGATTCAGTCGCCAGTTCCACACAAATCTGGTGTGCTCATGCACACCTATAATCCCAGCACCAGAGGTAGAGGCAGGATTAGAAATTCAAGGTCATTTTTAGCCAGGTAGCTAGTTCAAAGCCAGCTTGGATACATAAGACCCTGTCTAAAATTAAAAGAAAATCCAAATGAGAGAATGCTTCTGGGTCTCAGTATCATTGGACTTCAAGGTGTGTTTTGTCACAAAATTCAAAGATGCCCTCTTTTCCTAGAAATTTCAGGTTTGACTATTATTGCACATCACACACATTCCCAAATAAAAGTCTTCTTCACCCAAATCCTTCATTGTACCCTGAAACGTGTGCCAAAGCTTTGCTAGCAACTCCTGTTACAGACTTTTGAAGGTGCCAGGTATTTTAGCAGCTAATATGGTTCCGGTTCCAGCAGTTCTGAATAATTCAGTTTCACATTACCCCAATGTGGCCCAATGAAGTGCTTGCGACGTTTCTACTTCCTCTTCTAGAGAGCAAGGAAAGATACCTGTGAGGGTTGAGGTTCCTTTCACAACTAGAAAAGGAGGGGGGCGAAAAAAAAAATGCCCATCCGTCACGAACAGGATTCGAACCTGTGCGGGGAAACCCCATTGGATTTCGAGTCCAACGCCTTAACCACTCGGCCACCGTGACTCCCAAAATCACACTCCGCCGAGCGCTTACAGAAAGGGTCCGCACTGCGACCGCGGACGCGAGACCAACAGGCCGGGCCGCGCACACCTGCGGTGTCCCACCGCTCCCGCTCTTTCGCCACACCGCTCAGCGGGAAACAGGGAGTGCGCCCGCTGGCGGGTGCGAGGGGTCTCCCTGCCCGCCCGGGTTTCAAGGACCGCAAACCTATTTAACAGACGAATGGCAGGACCCGAAGACTAGACAGCTAACGAACCCGACCCCTCAACTTCGCGCCGAGGGTGGCTGCTGAGGGGACCTGCGGCATGCTGGTGGGACAGCGGCGGGGAAAGTCCGATCGACGGGGACGCAAGGCGGAACCTCTGGGACCGCAGGGGCTCCGCGGGGTCAGGAACGTGCATGATGAGGGCTACTCGAGGGTACCCGGGCGCTCTTCCGCAGAACGGCGTCCCCTCGGCATCGGCCGGGAGGCAGGCTGGGGAAGCGCTCTGCCCAGGGCAGAGCTCTCGGGTCACCGGCGTTCAGTAGGCGCAGCGAAACAGCCGCCCATCCGGAGCCGCCGCCGCCGCCAGGGAGGCCGCCGGGTCGGTCAGCGT